GCCCAGTTTGATTAGTAATCTTACGACCAGAAATGTCAATATCACATGACATTACTAATCGTTTAAAGAATGCCTTCATCGAATTTTATCCAAGATGTGCTTTTTCATACCAAACATCAATAGATTTAAAATTCTCTTTAAAATATAACAATAAAAATTAATATTTTAATAGTTATATTAAATACTGATATAATTCATTATAGTATTTACTTGCCATGATTTTTTTTTATAGGGTGAAGATAAAATTGAGGATCAGCATCAATTGGACGTTTGGCTATATATGTATCATACGATTCAACAATATCGAAAATTGGTGGAATAGAGAATGTCTCCGCTACACCAGGGCTTTCAAGACTTCTTTAATTGGTTTTAGATCGAAAAAGTTTAACTTCATAACCGCCAGAGTCTTTTTTTTTATTGAAAGAGACAAGTTCTAATAAAAAATGTTCTCCACCACGTAAACCAAGACAAAGCGCATTAAAAAAAAAAACTCTATTTAATAATCCATTAGGATTAAACTTTGACGTTTGAGAATGTGACAGAATTTGTTGAACTTCATCGATCGTTAAAGCATCAGATCCGTTTGATTCTCCATATCCACTTGCAGACAACGTTTTAATTTTTCCATTCAATGTACGCCAAAGATCAGGGTGTGCTTTTTTATCATTTAAGTCAATCGGTTTTAATTTACTTGTTTCACCATTAAAGTATCGATTAAATGCATTGATTGCAGATTGGAGGGATGCGACAGAATATTCATCACCATTGGCTTTACGACACACGGTAAAGTATTTACAGAGCTCTTCTTCAAGTTGCTTTGGATTTGAAATATCAGATAGTTCACCAGGAAGGTTAGTATCTTTGCGATATTTTTCAAACTGACTTGTCCAATTCAAAGTAGACCGATGTGTATTTTCTACAACAGACTTCTTTTGTAGTGATGTGACTTCTTCCGGCGTAGGCTCTACATATGTAAATTGTTTCTAAAAAAAGTTCAATACATACATAAATATAGTAATATTTGTAGATACAATTAACAGTAAATAAATAAAATAGTAAATAAATAGACAACAAGTGAACCTTTTGTTTGTCTTTAGGCATAGTGTTTTTTTCTTAAAAAAAATTTTCTATTTTTT